CAGTTTGCTCAAGGAAGAATGTCCTCGTCCCGCCATAAAAACACCCATATCCTGCTTTGACCTGCATCCATCTGATGATTTAACGTGCCATATTTCCGAATATAAATGTGTGAACCGAGCGATAAATCTCGTCGACACTATGGCGAACACATATGCCGTGTCAAACTCTTTACTATCTGTTCATGATACCCGGAGTTCTTTCCTTGCAAAATACGGCGGAAAAGATATTAGCAGTTGAAGTTATAAGTTGAGAACAGGCGCACACTTTCTGTAAACTACAACACTCGACCACACATGCGATATAAATCACGCCAACTAAAGCACTTGGTGACAACACCAGATTTCGGCGATACAAACTACCACTATATTTGATGCGATAAAGCGCGACGAAAAGGGATAGAAAATTGCGGATGCGGATCGTGTTGGATAAATTTTTGACCTTTTTTGCACTGCTGGTGAGAAAACCGCAGCGCCTAATTAGGGTGATGCAACTTTTCTTTGCATCTCTTGTGCTCAGTCTCTCATATTTAATCAGGACTCAACGATCAAAGCAGAATTATTAAAACAAACAACTGCGGTTTGAACCACTCCAATAGTAGAACAATTTCCTGATGAAAAATAATTTTGAAGCCTTTTTGCTCAGAGAGTAACGAGCTGGGTTGCAATTTTGCTATTACTTTGAGGACGAAATAACTAATTAACAACTTACACAATTCTGCAAAGCTATGTCTGCACAAAATCAGTGATGTGGGTTCTTGGATGTGGTTACTAACACGTCGCACAGACCGACTAACTTCATAATATCTTTCCTTGAGAACCATAATTAAGTAATGTAATGAAAGCACCGACCACTTGTGTATGATCATAGCATATATCGAACACATTACAAGTTAGAAATTCATTTCGGAGCGAAGTGGTGATGTTGTTTTAATGTAAATTGTGGCCACTTGTTGGGGAGATTTATTGTTCTAACATTTCTCACTAGATAATGGATCATCCGCCTTTTAAAATTTATGTTATGAATCAGCGTTCTGGATATTATACCACGAAACAAAAAAAAGGAACAAAGTTGTATATTATTCTAAAAAAATTGATTATTAAAATCGAGAGGAAATACCGACTAGTGTGGAAAAACAAGATCTACATCGTTTGTTATTCAGAAGCTCTTTAGGGACAGGTGGTAACAAAAATTATTTCTGTTTAACTTTCTCTTGTAAATTTTATTGCCATTAATAAAAAAAATATTTTCAGTGATCAAAAATTAAAACGGTTTAAAAACAAAAAATTAAAGAATAATATAAAAAAAAACATTAAAAAACAAAAAACATTTTGAAATATTTTATAAATACATTTATTATAAGTGAATAACATTTTTAAAAAATTCTGATTTACTACAATTTAACAATGTTTAACAAATTTTCTTTTTCCTCCTTTTAGACAAAGGAGTGTACAACATTATAACTCAATTTTTTGTTCCAACAAACACTTTTTGTCCAATTTCTTGTGATCTTGTGTTAACTTTTTATGTCTTTTTGTCACTTTTTGTTCAGTTTTTTCTTACAACATCAAATTTTTAGTCAACAAGCAGTTTTTTTTTAATTTTTTGCAATTTTTACTCAATATTTTAAGCATGCAAACATGCAACTTATTAAGGTGGTAAAAATTTACTAATTAATTTATAGGTTTGACTTTGAAATTTTACCTTCTAATTACAACATGCAATTTTTTTTATTTTTGTTAATAATAACAAAAGTAAATAAAAATTGTTTGTCAATATAAAAAATTGAGCAATAAAACAACAATACAGGTTTTTTTCTAATTTCGTGCAACTTTTGGTTTTTAAATTTTTTATTATAACAGCATAAAAGATTTTTTGTCTATTTTTTTTTGTTTTAAAAAGCGTTTTTTAGTGTCAAATTAAAAATTAAAACCTGTTTTAGTTTTTATTTTTATTAACTGTAACTATAAGGAAAATTTCGTTGTTACGGAGTGTAATTTTAAAAATTCCTGTCATATATAAAAAAAAAATTCTATGTATTTCTTCTTTTTCATCTTTCACACTTATATCTCTCAAAAATATAAAATCATTTTATTATGTATAAAAAATATTTAAGAAGATTTAGAAATAGTAGGTTACTTATATTCTCACAAGCATCTCAATCGTAGAAAAACATTTTTTATAATTTTTGATAATTTTTATTATAAGCTTTTAAATGTAAAACCCTCATAAATGTAATTCACTAATATTTATAGATAGTATCAATTAATTAATAAGAATAGGTTGCTGTTAAACCACTCATTATAAATAAATTACTTGTAAATAATACATAAAAGTAATTAAATTAGCAAATAACAAAAAATATAAAAACAAACATCTACTTTGTATTATTAATTTAGTTAAACGAAGCGGGTGTCTATCAAATATGTAAACACGACGCCCGAATAAATAAAGCCTGAAATATATACAATTTTTTCCTGTCAGTATTATTTAGTAACATGAGAGAGATATTATTATTTAAAAGTTTATGAAAACAATATTCCTTTTACCAATAAATATTCATTTATTTTGCTTCCACGCCAAAATCGCATTTGTATGCGACTGTATTTAAAAATAAACATGACTGTTTAAATGCAAATTTTCTTTTAGCTAGGAGACTGCATTGTTGTAAAAAGAAAAAAAAAATTTGTGCTAATTAAAGTAAGCTTCAATGTAAAAAGAAAATTGAGCTTTCTTTCATAACTACTGGCATTTTCAGTTATTTCTGCTCAACTCAATAGTAAATTACAAATTTTGATCTCTATGGAACAGGATTTTTCCGATTTTATCCTGGCGTTGTTCCGGGCCCGCTCTGGGCGCTACCTCGTAAATAATCGTCTAGCTTTCGAGTGTTTACCTCAATTTAAGCGATTATCAGCTAAATTCGGTTTAGCAAATCGACACGTTCTCACTTTATATACCGCATTGCGCCTGCATGTCGCGCTCCAGCCCCTCTAGTTTACATGCAGCGGGTGTTTACAGCCGCCAGGTGGCCACAAATGCTGCATATATCCGAGAACTCGCTGGCAATTTAACTTTGACACAGCTAGTAATACAGTATAGGCGAGCTTTTATGAAAGCTTTCATAAAGAGAGTCTTTTGTAGGTGGCAAAGTCGAGGACTATAATTCGTCGTGGCGACGTGCCGAATCCACCTTTCACCCAACAATTAAACCTCAGGAAGAAGATATTTACTTCAAAACTGCTCGCTTTGTACATTTCGTGATAGGTGAGAGGAAGCCGTTAAGAAAACAAAGAAACTCTTTGAAAAGAACTTGCAATTCTCATAAATGCTTTTTTATCTTGACAATCCACACACATAAAACGAAATTATAGAAATTGGCCGCAAGTGGAAAGCTCAGAGCTTGCGATAATTAGTAAAAGCTCTGTTCGAAATGCAAATAATTTTAAAGGAATGAAATACCATTTCATTTACGCCAGTTTGATGCTTTATGGGCCGCCACTGGGCCCGATCCAATCGGAGCAACAGTGTTCAACTTTATTGCTGACATAAAATCGTGAATAAATTATTTCGGTTTATTACCTACACTTGGCAATGTTTATTTTTCCTTCGATTTTTTCCCTCTTCTCCTTTTTACTATTTATTTATTTCGGCCATTCCGGATTATGACATCTCAAAATTCAAAGAGTCAGCACTTGGCCCCCTTTAATTAATTTTCCAAATTTATTGTATTTGAGATATTATCGGAATTATTTCCTCGCCACCAAAAGTTAGTAATTCCGCTGCTGTGGTTTAATTAATGCAACTGCTGAGATGAGATTTAACCACACAACACACCTCCACATTTATATGAGCACGACCTTTCCTTACACATATTACCCTGTAATTAAAATTTTTTTCAAATACGAAAAACCTTGAGCTGCATTTTTAGCTTGCGTGCTGCTTCACCTATTTGTTTTAATTAAACATTATGTTAGGTCTGTTAAAAAGAAGATTAATCTTTGTCTCTGGGGTAGCTGTTAGGTTTTCTATGCCTAATTGCATGTTTCAGGCAAGATAAAAGATACTTGCGTGCGAAGCTAATGGAATTAAACGCTAGTCAGATATCATCTGGAGAACTCTTACATATTTCTTCCAAAACACAATTAAACACACAAAAATCTAATCCTTTTAATTCCTTTTACAATTCAATTATTTTTTAACGTTTAGAAGAAATACAAATTGTTTATTGGATTGGTTTGAGTTGAATGAACACCGATATTAAATTTGTTGCAAAATGCGTTAAATCAATATGTGGCCACAGGTGGCGCTTAAGCCTCTTTCGTTGATTTCCTTTTTTATTTGGTTTATATAGAGAGATTTAGCAAAGCTATTACTTTCGGGCTTCACCAAAATATGTTATCAACTTATTTGCTCATTTCTGTAACCATCGAATTCTTGGCAAATAAATTAAATTGAAAATTCTTTATAGACAAAACACTTTGCGCAGAATTCTCCGCAAAGTGCGTAATCGAAAGTTGAAGCTTCCACTTTTGTTTATGTTAATTTATGTGGCAAAAAAACGAAACCTTCTTAATTTCATAACTTGGAAAAACAAAGACGTCGAAATTAATGAAAACCAAACAGTCGCCACTTGAACGTTTTGTCAAAAGTGAAACGGATACAATAAAAGGCCGCCACTCCGGATTAGTGTTTGATATTTCCGGGCGTATATTTTCGGCTTTATAACCTCATATCACACATACGCGTATCCAGAAACAACAGCCTCGAGAGAATGGAACATGGAACGTGGCCGGAATCCAGAAGAGGGACTAACGGCCAAGGTTGGCACTCTATGAGCTTTGATCTATCAATATCCAACACATCATCATTCATACGCGGGGCCTTAGACACCATATTTGCAACTAAAGTGCACGGCTACTTCTGTCTTGAGCAAAACGTGATGTCACGTACGAGAATAAGGAGTTTTTATTTTGAGGTTTGAAACGAATCAAAGAGACGGTTTAAAAAGCCGAAATTTATTAAATTAAGCTCAACAATAGTAATAACTGGATTTGTCACGATAGTAACGAGTATCAATATTAGAACCTACAAAGATAAAAAATAAAAAAATAATTTAAATTAACAAAAATTACAAGTGTCTCCTTTATCAAACACGATATTACTTTTACTCTGCCCTGTAACAATAAAAATAATAATAATAATAACAACAAATAAAAACGCTCACGTCTCGTCAAGCAAGCTTCACACTTGCATTTTACTATCGACTTAAGACCTGCAAAAACATGTTGTAAAATATATACAGGGTGAACACTGACTGAAATACGATTAAAATATCCCTCTTTCTTGCAGACAACAGGAGCATGACAGTCGTAGCACCTGCACACCTTGACTTTTGTTTGTTTTGCACACTTGCAACATTTGCAAGGCTTGTTTTTGACATCAGTGTTTGAATAAGTTGTTTTCTGAGAAACAAAGTCTTTGGGTTTATCACATTTGCAAGACTTATTTTTTACATCAGTATTTGAGCAACTTGTTTGAGGAACAGTGTCTCTAGTTTTAGTTAATTCTGATTTAAAACATTTACAACAAATACACATTTTTGGCGTATTTGCAGTTTTTTGTATTTCGATGAAGTCTTCTTGAAGAGATTTGTCACACTTGCAACAAACGCACATTTTAGGTTTTTTATAAAAATTTGTTTTGTAGTCCCTACATGGCTGAAATTTTTATTTTTATTTTTTTTTTGTTTCAATTTTTTAACTTACTTCTTCGTCGTGTGTTTGTATGCAACTTGAAACTCTCTAAAAAATATAACTTTGTGATAATCTAACAGTAAGTAAATGAAATACTCATATTTACAAATTGTGGACAGGTCATTGTGTCACATTCTGACTAAAAAATAATCATAAAGTAAAAGATAAACCTGTTCTATGTTAAAAACACTTACAGTGTCAATACTGCTCGTATCACTTAGTTTCTGAAACCACAATAACATTTAATAAAAGTACTAAAATTTAATAACTTGAAATTTTACTCACATTTGACTCCTTATCAACGTCCTACAAACACACTAATAAAAAAATATTTTCACAAATTTACATTAACTTAACTGGTTTATCACAGGTCACAAACCGGTTACAAAGTTCCATAATTGCTTGTAATCCCGTAAGAAAAACTTCATCGGCTGTCGGGCCCAAAAAACGGTTAAAAAAATCGGGCGCACAGTCACAATCAATTGCTACATAAATCTTAATTAGATTGAATTTAATTTTATTCTAAAATACCTGTCCAGTTTTGGTCATCTGTTTTCTCACCAACTGCATTTTTCACTTTTGCGATAGCTGATTGTGTGTCAGTGTTACAACCCTAGAATATGAATAGTTTATGGACAATTAGAGGCATAGAAAAACCTGCGTTTTTTGTAAATTCTGATTGCTGGTAATTGTAACATTGATTTCTTGGGTTGTTGGTCCAGGATGAAAATTTACTCATAATGATTTTAGACAAAATCACTAAAATTTCAGAAAATTTTGGCTGACATATGTCATATTTTGATAGAATTATATGTATATTTGAGAAACAACTTAAACTTGTATTTGTTAATTTTTCTGCTTTCTCACTAAATTTTTATATTCTGTGATATAATTATTTATGACTTAAATTCTGTGTTTGCTATCGGAACTTTCAAAAACAATGGAATTTAATTTAGTGTAGGTCATTATAATAAACGAACATTTCGTTGTTTGCTAAAAAATAAAACATAACGTTATGAAGCACAAAGTCTTTGTTTCATAGCAAATGTCTTTAACAAGATTAAATTATTTACACGAATAAATATAATTCAACAACTTGACGAGCCCGAGATGATGGAAAACCTAGTATTAGTTTGTACACCTGAGCACAAGTGGAACAATTTGAGCTGAAACATTACTTACAATTATTTGAGAGGCTTACATGAAGCAGAAATTATAGCATTGTGAATCTTGTTGACATAGTTTCAAAATTTTCTCCGGTCTTAAAACCGCAACAAAATTTTTAAATAATTGATTTTAAAATTGTCTTTTCAATAAAGTTAATACATTTCAGCCCACAACTGGTTGTTGAAAAAAGTGTGTGCGGTTCTTTTGTTGCACGAATTTAGTTTGTATTGAGAGCACTCAGCAGAATTCGCAACATTTCCCATTATCGTTTTATTCAGAAATATAAAGACCTTATAACAAGTAAATGCATGCGCTGAAACTCGCTTTGTAATTTCGAGTTAACGTTACATAAACGCAAACAGTTGAAAGACAAGTAAGGAGTTGCCGGCAACTCGTTCAGAATGATCCATTCAATATGAAAATAAAGCTCGACAATTGCACTTGATTAAAATTTACCCCTCGTCGAAAATACGATTTTCATAAACATAACAAGGAATTGTGTATTATGAAATTGAGAAATGACTCATTTAGCACGAGAACGTGTTTTGACATTCTGACAAGGTAGTTAATAACTGCTTTATTTTTAGTTTTGATACGGTTTATGAGGTGATTTATGAAGGTAAACTGACAGTAAGCTGGGCAACATAAAGGTTAGTGAAGCGATTTGCATGAATTATAAAGACTATGATAAAAATTTGTTATCTGCATAGTCAGGTCGGATGCAGGGTTTTACACAAAAATTAACAGAAGCTGGAGCGTAAACAAAATTTGCATTTAATGATGAGAAAAGAGGAATAAATATTATAAAACAGCTGCAAGAAGTGCTGTGAAAATAAAATAAAGTGCTATTGAAGTTTTATTACCCTCTATGCACTCTATAATATTGCAATATGAAAACTATAAAGGGTCGCTAAAAAGTACAATATCATAAAAACTATTTATCAAAACTTATTGTAATTTAGTATATGCTTAAAAGTATTTAAATTATATCGCCTCAGATGTTTATCAAACTTCAACCTCTATTTGTTCTGGGGATAAAACACTAACTTGATTTTTTTTAATTGACAAGATGGGTCAAATTTAATATTTTTAAGAAGAGCATTTCTTCTGAGTCCTGTGATGTAACACATGCATACCTTATTTTAATGGAACATTATGGAAATAATTAAATTTTGAAAAATGTATTTTTTTAGCCTTGTGAATGTTGTCTTTATCTATCGTTAGCTCTTTGCCGCATAAACTTTGACCAAAAAATAAGTAAACTGTTTTACAAATTTAAACGTGTTTGCTAAATCGTTTTGAAAATATTTAGCTGTATCCATACTTTTTAGCGACCCTGTATAATAAGTAAACAAAGACCGGTGACGGAGTAAATCGTGTTTTTGTTTATCATTTCCATACCAAGAGGATCCAATAAGAAGTTAAACAAAGAGAGTAAATTTTCTTAAAAATAGTAAGTAATTCAAATGCATTTTTTTTCTTTTAACAATAACTAATCTAATTTGTTAACTAAAACCACCACTTTAATCTAGTTCTCGATTTTAATTAATGTAACTTTGAAAATACAGTGGAACTCCTCTATAACGAGCCCCGGTTATAACGAAAAATCGGCTATAACGAGTAAATCGTCTAGTACCTTGGCGTTTTGTATACTCTATTGAAAATTCTTCTTTTATATTTTTCTGGAGTTGAAGCGGATGTAACAAAACTTTTATTTTGTCCAAGATTGTTAATAGCTACAAATTCTGAGATATTTCGGAAACATATCGGTTATAACAAGAGTTTTTAGAAGAAATAAAAATCCTGTGAGTTTCCATTACGTATTGTGTATTAAAATTTTTTTGGAAATATGTTTGCGTGTTAATGGTCTTATTTTTCTCACTTTCTCAGTCTTGAATAACTTTCTAAGCAGAGAACACTTCATCTTTCTGTATCAGTATGTCGTCCTGAAAAAGAAAAACATTTTCTACCAAAGAAAAAATGTCAATAATAAAAGAGTTCGAAAGTGGTAAAAAACAAACTGTGATCTGCAAAGAAAAAAAATTAGCCAGTTCTACATTGGCAACAATTTTAAAGAACAGGGACAAGAATACGAATTCAACTGGTAAATTTTTGTCAAATGTAAAGAAGCCACATATTGCTAAAAATGCTAAACTAGATAAAGCTGTTCTTACTTAGCTCAAAGTGCCCATAAGTGAGGCCATGTTAAAAGAAAAAACAGAACAATTTGCAGAAAAAATTAGGGATTCTCTAGAGATAATTTTTTTTCTTATTGGGTACTTCCCCCTAACCACGATGTCTTTTTCAATAGTCTTGTACAATTAGAAAGTGCAATTTATAAGATAAATATGCTTCATTACAAAAAAACAAACAAAAATTACAGCTTTTTCTTTCTCAAATATTGTTTTAAACTTCTTTAATATTCGTATTTAATAAATAATTTGCATAGTATATGTAAATATAGATTTATTTATTTTAAATTATAAATATTGTTAAATTCTTTTAAACCAAGGTTTATAGCATGTGAATTCTGAAATTTGTAATTCACTGTGCGATATTTTTATATTTTTTTCTAATTTTTACTTCTAATCAAAATTAATCTTATACTAGTCTTTTTAAATGTTTTAAATGTTTAGCACTTTACTTAGTGAATTAAGAATAAAAAACTTCATAAATATTAATACTTATATGTAATTAAAAAAAACAATCTAAAAAAAATTGTTAAACAGAATATAAACGACACATTTTTTGATTCGTGTGCCAGACACATTCTTAAAACCTGCCAATTTTTCATCTTCTATTTAAAAACTCAAACGAAAAATGAAAAATAATTATTATTCATTTCTCGCACCTATAAAAATTTGCAATGAATTTTCCTAATGAAATGAACATAATTCCGACAGCATGTTGAGTAACGCTTGCGCACCCTGCAGCCGTCTGCAACCCTCGGGATGCTCCTTTATTTCTGATTCACGTTCTGTTCGAGTCGCAGTAAAAAGCTATCGTCTTGTCGCATCGCGAACTTTACACAGAAACCATTAAAAACGCATAAGTGACTGTGGGCAGTGATGTGAACAAAAATGTGCAAAATGACTCTTTATCAATGTCTCTTTCTTGTCTTCATTCTTCTCAAAGGTATGAAGAAATTATTTGACACAATTTTAATTCTAACCGGCTTTTTGTTATTGTGACAAAGTTAATTTTTGTATTAAGTATTTTAATGATAGAACAAATATTTAATTAATCTTTCTAATTTTTAATTAATGAGACGTTTAATCAGTTTATTATACGACTTGACAAGAGAAGAGTGTAAAGCTTCATTATTCAGAGCACCAAATTTGGGTTAATTAGTTCGAAAGCTTTTGTGATAGCTTTAAATAATTAAGTGTGTTTTTGAATTTTTATTAAAAAAATATTTTGTTTAATCTTTAATTAATGAAACGCGTAATCACTTTATATTACGACTTGTGACGAAAGTAATATAAAATTTTATGACAGTACTAAAATTAGGTTAATTATTATCATGAAATTTCCCTCTCTTTAAATATTTTATGACTAATTTTTTTCCGGTTTAGGCCACACACGGTGTCAAAAATTCCTAATAAACGCTTCATTAGCCCCAGGTCCAGTAATTATAATCCCCATTTTTAATAGCTCGATTATCATTCTTTCTTTTTGGTTCATTTCCTCCCAAAAATAATTTTTTTGCTAATTGGGTGCGAAAAGCCCATTTTTCCTAATATTTATCGACAAAATTGTCACCTGTCGGCGAAGTTAATAAGCGGAGTACTTCACAAAATCTCGTTTTCCAGCACTTGTGCACTTATTGTAGCAATTTTCGTCCCGAATAAAATCAATAAGAAAACGAGCCGAATGACGGCATTTCTCGCAGCTGCATTTTCGACGTGCTGTCTCACAAAGTACGCGAAAAGTCTCGGAGAGTTGCAGGTGTTAATGCAATTCTTCTCGTGTATTTCTGGACAAGGCTTGAAATAATTTATATGTTCCCAGATGTTCACACAAGACAAGGCTGCTGCTCCTCCTGCTTGCTCTAAAAATATTGGACGCACTTCGGTACATTAATTCTTTTCACGCCCTATAAATACACGCACTGGATTGAGCGTTTAATAAAAACGCTTTTCGGCCCAAATGGACTTTTCCGGAAAATATCGCTTTTGATTAAAAACAGTTTAACCGCAGAAAGTAAAAATTTTCCTTGCTTGAACAGTCTACGAAAAAGAAACTAGAATTTCTTCAAAACAATTATTTATGAATTCATTTATTTCTAATAAATGTTGATAGTTTTCAATTTTTTTAAGTTTTAAGGTGTATTTGTTTATCTTTCCAAGAAAGTTTATTTAAAATTGCTATGAGATCGAGAGATCAAATAAATATAGATTATTATAATTTTTGCGTTTTGTGATTATTTAGGAAATAGAGCAGATTTTTTTTTTGAAATTTGTTTTATCTAGATTATGTGGTTTTAATTACGGTCTTTATACGGCAGAGTCCAATCCTGAATACGTACAAAATTGATTACGAATACGAATTAGAAAACACAGTTTTCATGTTAAAAAATATTTGAAAAAGCATTTTTACCAGCGATTATAATTTAATTTTTATCTTGAATATTTATATCTATTTTAGATACAAGTTTTATAGTGATAAACCCAATCAGTATAAATAATTTATTTGTAGTGATACTATTACTACAAAATCTAATTTATATAAAGTAAAACTGTATACTAGTTAAATATTGCTAGATTCTACTGTAAAATACTAAGTAGATCCAGTTAGTACTAAAGTCAAGCTTTACAGTTCTACTAGTTTGAATAAAGTAGTTCATGATTTCAGATCACAGTTGTGCCTAGATATAGTATTCGTATGATATCAATCCCACCTGTCGGATTTATGTCACAGAATATTAGATCTCTTCTATACACAAATAAACACTCCTCTAAACATAAATAATACTAGGTTTTGCGAGGTGACCTATACAGTGTGTGTCATAATTAAGTGTACAAAAATTACAAAATCTTCTTTAAGTCAAAACAAAGCAATTAATTTAATACACTTTAGTAACAAAATACTTTCTCAAAAAGATACATAATGTTGCTGTAAATTTTGTGTATCTATATTATAGTAATATATTTTCAAAATAATTGAATACGAGTATTTCCAATTTATAGAAATGAACATGTTTTCAGTAGAGTCTGTATCTTTTTAAGCAAGCATTTTATTACTGTAATAGAATAACTGCTTTGTTTTAGCCTAAAGAAGCTTTCGTTAAATTTCTGACACCTATAATTATGACTCACACTGTATATATAGTAGGTACTAAATCCGGCTTATAGAGTCTATATTTTGTATAATACTTAAATATATGAAATGTATATCAGTATAGCATTACATTTAGTTCCAGCGTCAATAATATTAAATCTAAATTGCATAATTTTAAATTATGTGTGTATAGCATTTTTTATAGGGTTCTAACTGCTAAATTCATCTTGCATAGCATTAGCTAGTTTGTGTTTTTCTGGATTATTTATCTAATTTTTATTTGTATTATACTCTTATTAAATTAATATGAATGGTACTACGAGTAGGTCCAACCTTTGTGATAAAAAATTCTTTCAGCCAAGTCTGGAAAATTTTACTATTGCTACTTTATCACAGATTTTATTTTACACTGTACTTTTTGCGCTAAAATATTTTTTTGTTTTATTTGAAATGAAGTTCAAATTCAAACAAATTTAACGTTTAAACGAATTCATCTACATTTAATTAGAGAGCTTCCGATCTTTGTAAAACATACGAGTTGAGTTTGTTTGTTAGTTATGGTATTTTAATTACATATTTAGCGTTGGGTAGTATTTATTTCAATGTAGGTTTTATTTTCACAAGTTTGCAATTAATTACAAAACATTGCTTGGAATCAAACATTTCTCTTTTACAAAGCTTCCAGCAAACCTCACCATTCTATTTCTAGTGTGACTAATTATTATTGGCAAGTAAAGCGTAACTCGGCGTTGTTTTCCCAAACCCATTTACTCTTAGAAACAGCAAACCGAAGCAATGTTTTCTCGACTTGTCTTGACCACAACTGAACAAGTTATATTGAAAGAGCGTCAAATGCACCATTATTGCAAAGCTCTCAATTAATTACACTATAAAAACCGCGGATAAAATTAATTGACGTTTTATCGTCCGTCTTTACAGTTTGTTTTGACTGGCGTCTTACATAAATTCAAGTAAACAAAAGTCCGTAATCGCAAGATGCAAGCATATGTCGCACACCGCAAGGGGGCGGAATTATTTCTTAAGAGATTACAAGACGATTTTCTGTTTCGAGGAAATTCATACGATGATATTTTCTCAGCGAATGCACTGAAATGGCTGCACAGACTGCTTTTATTCGTAATAAACTGTAATGGCTGACCTTTCAGACAGAAGCGGCGATACTTTCAGAAGTTGATTTTCCATTGCCAACGCAGAATTACTCTTTGTGCCAGTTGAACGAGTTGCACAGTTTTTTACCGAAATAATCAAGACAAAAGGCGCTTTTTACCAAAGTTTCTGCTATACAAATTAATAGCTGAAAAAGGATAGTTCAGTCATTCTGGAATTATCTTATTTTCTTCGTCTCTCGCAAAAACTAGCAAAACGGAAGAGCAAAATCGTAAACACGGCGATCACAGCGAAAGAAAACTGCAAACTTAGACGCCAACTACTTTAAGTAGATTTTCAAACGGCGCTAACAGAGACAGAGGAATTGTTAAGCGAGCTTTGGCGAGAAAGCTTGCCCCGGAAAAATTTCATCTGATTGGGGTGTGAATTTTTAAGTTAGATCGAGGTAGGGTTTCTCGTAAACGAGCCAGTTTCCCAATCTTTTATGGTAACAATGGAATAATAAATTTATTAAGATGATCCGCAGTTATCACGGCTATAAACATTCCTGTAGTCTTCATAAATGTTTCTCTTAGGGTTTAGAGGAGGTCCTTTCCAGTTTCACGGACAATTAAGTGGCTGGAAGCTGTTGGGTTGAATAAATAAATAAGTTTTAAATAATTTACGAGAAAATTTTACTGGATGCTTTACTTTAAATTAATCTTGTTGACAAAGAAAAGATTATCAAGAGGTAAACCAGACAAAATGAAATATCTAATTACACGTAAGACAAAATGATTTACTGTCAATAAAAAACCTAAAGTAGAATTTTTGAAAGTTTGAGCCCTTATTACACAGTTACAGTTTGCTCCCTAACATAATAACAACTAGTGTATAACTCGATTATGTCGTCGCAATAACAAACTTTAATATATAAAATTAGGAAACCCAATAAAGGTTTAATGGCACAACAACTCGATAAAGTTTAGTGTTGTAAAGCGTGCCTTTACAGCTGGCCCAACTCCCATCTAGTGTCGATCGCACCTTGCCAAATTATCCATTTTAGAAATTTACTGTTTGAAATTTTTGGCGAAAATTGAATTAACTAATTTCCATGGCGTGTACGAAATTCGATTTTAGCAATATCTGAACGTAATATCAGACTAATTGCTTTCGATGTTGTGGAGACTTAGAGAAATTTATTACTTGCACCTTTATGAAAAGCGATCACAGATATGAGATCCGCGCTGTAACTTATAATTATAAGATAAAAAAATTTCTGGGGAGAAAGCGCCTCAACTTTGTCTACAAATCACGGGCGTAATTCGAGGAAGCGGAATTATGTCGTTGCGCTAAATAAGCCTTCTTGGCTTTAACGTACACTTGACCCCATCTTTATTCAATGAAACGGGAAGAGGGCTTGTATTGCCGCCATTATTAACCTTATTTCTTCCCAAATCGCGACCTAATAGGGTTTTGCTAAGGTTTATTGCTACTCACTTAACCTAGTTATTCCGATAACTGATTAAAGGGGAGATTAAACGCATTTTTGTAATAGTGAATGTAGAATATTTGATACAATTTGCCCTTTTTTATTTTATGTAATCCTAGCAATTTTTTTTAATTATCCTCCGGCCCTTGTAAACGTAACTAAATAAAAACTAATGTCTGCTCGAAACATACCTGCTTATTCTCATCTCTAATCGTAAATTGTAAACTTTACGAAAATCCGTGGTATTCTTACCACACGACAAGTAAAATAAATCTGCAAGCGGTTTTACACACCAGACGTAAATATTCCAAATAAACATGCTGATTTGTTAGCAAAATAAAGAACTGTGAGATTTATTGATTAAGGGAGTTGGGAGGTAAATGATCAGGAACGTAGAGTTTGTTTTCGACTGAGAGAAGTAAATTCTAATTTATTTAACATGTTGAAGTTATAATTCGTACAATAAACAGGAGTTGCCTAAACTGTTATTTCCAGATTGTCGATAAATAAATTAAGAGTTAAGCAAGAACGTTGCTCTGAAATACCCACCTGGTTTTTACAAATAACTTTTGTCAATATACAATGTGAAAATTAGACACAAAATTAAATAAAATAGTTATTTATGTATCAAGGCACTAAAGTCTTTTTATATGTTTTTTTTCATTATATGACTTTAGTATCGAGATGCATATAAAATTTATTTCATAACCGCAGAATTTGTGCAAAACTTTTTCTGGAGATTAGGTTACTAGCGCGACAGTTCAATTGACAGTTTATTTCAGTTGGTTCAGTGTTGTTAGATTAGTTCTCATTTCAATAGTATAGTCGTATATTTCAGGGAAATTGGCATAATGGGTGCTATGGAATTTCATATTTAAGTTCCTAGCCCTGCGCATGTCCCTGGTATAATAGCAGATGGAGTTTTTGTTTTTCTTACTTACCTACATGGTTTGTTGAATAGACATTTGCATACGTTTTTCATTGTTTTCGTTACTTGTTCGTTAGTCCATATTTTTTTTCAAATTATGATTAAAAATAATTCTCTTCAGAACTCGAGATTTAGACTACACGCTATGGTATGTCTGAAAACTTTAATCAATTTCTTTTTGTTGTTCCTGTTTTAGGTTAATGGAATCAAATATACCAATTTGAATAAAGCCAAATTATTTTCTCCAAAGCTAATAGTGCAGGTATATTTTTGGTGTTAAAATTACACCTACAAAGGGATGAAACATAGGAATTAAACTATTTATGGAAAAATCTTTCTCTGAAAACCTCTGAAAAAGAGTTCTTTAAAAATAAAATTTTAACTATCTTAACTTCACTTTTTTTAGTGACAAATTTAGTTTTTAATATGTAAAGCTTCTTTCATATTTGTAACGTAAATTGTGGACTGTATATTCTTTCTCAGTAAAAACACGATTTGTTAACAATAACAACTTTATTTGTCGGTTGCTACAAGACTTATTTAAGACTCTCTTAATACTAACTCGTTCCAACTGTGGGCCCTGATCGGGCCAAACAACCCCCTACCCACTTACACTAAAGGTGGGGGAGAATTCTTAACAATATTTAAAGTGCAGTTTATACAATTATGGCCTACTGTTATGTCGATTTCAATGAAATGGATTATACCATCTCGTCCATAAACTTTTCAACATTTAAAAATTTTTAAGCTTATCAGGTATTTTCTTTAAAACTTAGTTTACTAGATTGATAAATGATAATTGATAAATGAAGCTGATGCCTAATGTGACAAAGCGTCCGAAATCTGCGGAGGAGAGTGCTCAAAATATTCAGAGGAGAGTGCTGAAAAAAGTTTTTATCTGCAAATGTCACAAAAGTGACCATTTTTATGGCCAAATGTCACAAGTAAAAGTTTTACGTACAGCCATGGAGTAAAATTCTACTTTTGCGCCTAAGCCTGTTTACTTTGACATTATTGACATTTAATCATGTTGTTTATATTTTGCCTTTTTGGTGCTTTAGCAATTTCTGGAGAGGTACTACTAACTGCACTAGTTAAATAAATAAACACTTTCAAAAATTCCGACACTGACGCGTAATGTTTGTTTATAAGCACTTTTATTCTTAATAACATAATATACTAATATTTAGAATTTCAGACAAAATAAAGTATCTTTTTTATTTACGTATTTTTAAATTTCAAATGTGTAAAATTTTATTTTAAAACAAAACGACAAGAGAGCTTTACCAAATTGATAAAATTGCAAACGAATATAAACAAATTTGCATAAATAATAAAACATTACTTCGGTTTCTATTCGTTTGAAATTGGTTTGGTCTCAACCAGATCGTCGGTTTGACATTTGTCACAATTCGATTTCCGTTTTGTCTTTTGGTAAATTCAAAGTAGTTTTGTAAAAAATAATTTAGTTGAAAGTGCGTGTAATTTGTAATGTAAATTATTAACGAAACAAAGAATTTCAGCATTTTATTCAGTAAAACTCGTAATTCAATACTTCCGTTCCATCTCGTATCGACTCCATTCCCCATTTCTTAGAAAGATTTATTGAATGCTTGCCGGAATAAAGCCTCGCCGTTGGTAATGAATGAAAGTGTCGCTTCTGTATACTTTATTAGATCGATCGAAGCTTAGCTTAAGAGACGTGTCCACTAACAAGCCTTTTCAAGAGGAATCGTAACCCCGGAGGCATAAAATTGTTCCGTACTCATCACTGTGAGAGTTTTTACATCGTTACGAAACTCTCTCGAGAACACATAACAAAGCACTTGTAATGCTGCAAACAAACACTCTAACACTACTTATCTCGTGACCCCGTTCTTACTCTTCCTCGGCCATTGTAGCTGGTCATTTGCGCCCTAATCGGCCTCAATTTCAGACGTCTTCGCTCTCAAAGACGTCGTTTTGACTATCAGACCCGAAGTTGTCGAGAGAGGGAGTTTCGCCACCCTAATATGTTCCTACGATCTCGAAGGAGCCACTTTGTACTATGTCAAGTGGTACAGGGGCACCCACGAATTCTACAGGTACACCCCGAGCGAGAGACCCACCACCAAGCTATTCCCCTTTGGGGCAATCAACGTTGATGTAAGTACTTTTGCAAAGTTTTAAACTAAAAATATAATCGCTTTAACTAGTTGCTGAGAAAGTATTGTTTTTTACTTTATGCTAGAAAAGTTTCTTTTGCAGGTAAATCGTTCCAACGCTACTCAAGTCGTTCTTACAGATATAGACTTTAAACTTTCAGGAAATTTCAGCTGTGAAGTCACTACTGATGAAGAACCGGCGTCTACGGAAACTGCCGTTCAGTCCATGTTAGTCGTACGTAAGTAAAACTTAATGCTACAAAGAGTTCATTGCTGAATTATTAACTGAAACCGTATTTTTTCGTTTATTTTATTCCCTTGTGATGCTGTTTTGCAGTAGCAAATAAAAGTTGCGTCTGCAAAATCTCTAAAAATCCTTGAAGCCATTTAATTAGAACTCTGGAAAACAAATTTGTCCCATTTACGTAGCATTCCGATTGAATATACGTGATTATTTCAGCCTCCTTCGTTCCAATCATTCTGTTTATTTCAGGGAAGAAGTCTGTTAATTTATGCGGCGTTTTGTCTGTACATTAAACGAGTTGTTTAGTATTCAAACGACTCCTCCGTCGACTTACTGTCCTCAATTTAGATTGATATAAAGTGCATGTCGTTCCAAAAACACCACCATTCAAATCCTTCAAGCTCCAACTGTTTATTATTGTCATGTAACATGTAAAACTGTTTCCGGAAGAAAGAAACGAGAAAAATGTCGTCAAACTTCCGGTATTAAATCGGAAAAACCAATTGATGGATGATAATAAGGAGCAGTAGAAATGTTCGCACTTGGCAAGTCGTTAAATTTGTTTACTTTGGAGTGAGCAGACAGTTAAATTCTGACATATAATAATACATGTTCAAAAATAACAAGATAAAAAATTCAAGCAGCAAATACATTTGTAAATGCAACCATTTTTTTCCAACTATAAATATTGATTCTATTTTGATGTACTTGTTTTCTGTTGTTGAATTTTAACGATACTGTATGCACTCGGCTGAAAGATGATTTATTTGCAAACGTGAACTGTATAACTGGTGTAAAATATTAACTCTAATTAATTATTCTTGTCCACATTGCAATTTCAGGCATGTTTAAGTCATTAATAATGTTTTATTTGAATATGTTACAATAAATTCAAATCAGTTTAATGGACCTTAATGCAAGAATTTTGACCAAATTAGCATTTTAGTATATTTTCAAACAAAATCGCTAAATTTATAATCAAAGGCTGCTTTTGTGACTGCGAGTTTTAATTTTTATAAACCAATAACCAAACATCAAGTACGTTAAACTGAATGATTAAAAGTAGCACACAAACAGCGAATAGGCTTTTATGCAACACATAACTCTTTGTTGTTTCATCTGATGTTTAATTTTTACTATACTCAATTTGTAATTTTTGACTAGAGTCGTTTATTTTAAAATAGCAATCTTAATGACTCATCACAACTTAGAAAATATTTAATTTTATTTTTTTAGACAAACGATTTAAACAAAAAAAGTTATCAAACAGATAAAGACTTTTTCAGTCCAAAGCACTTATTATTGACTTCATAAAACAAGTGCTATTTATTAATTATTTTTTTTTCAGTTACTTTCAGACCTTTAAATGGTATAATTAAATATATAAATATAGGACTTTGATAGATACTAATATTCGCCTAAAATTATTTTCAACTATACCTACAGCGTGCCTCAAGTTACAATACAAACTTGGGTTTTTTTTAATGAAACACCATTTATTGGTCGATTTTGATTAGTTTTAAAAATAAGACGTTTTTTTTTAACAAAAACATGCACTTTTTAAAAAAGTATTATTTTTTTTACTACCGCAAAGAAGAAGGTACCTACAAGCTATAAGGTTGTAACATTTTTTTAGTGTGTTCCATTTGTTAAAAAATTAAGGCATTTGTTAAAAGTTCAATAACTTAAAAAATTTAAATTAAACACTTTAGTTATTGTTTTGGCATTTAAAAGATTATTAAATTGTCTTTTTAAAATTATTTACTTTTAGGTGTCAATAACTAAGAATATATTTAACGTTAAACATTTAAAAAAATAATTACTATTGCTTTAGTAGCCAAAAAGTGCACAGTTGCACAAGAGATAGAAGAAACATCACTTAATACATTTAATCACACTTGTGTTAAACTGAATCCATTATTCTTTATTTTTACAAGAAAATAATTCGAATTTCAGTATTTATAACGACTTTTACAATCTCTGGATAAATCAACGGATAAGTGATCCGTGGTAGAATTATTATGGTTGCCATAGTATCAACAATGCCCAGAAATTGATAGGCATTGTTGGTACAATTAATATTGAATGTTAAATATCTATTCATTGATCAATTCTAGACAATAAAAGTTTATTTTTTTAGATAGACAATTTATCAGTCTATAAGATGCAAAAATAAAAAATAGGGTGTTCTTTCTTTAAGTTATTTATTTAACTTTTAACAAACTTCTTAATTTATTAATCTTTGCAAATGCAAAACACTAAAAAATTGTTACATCTTTAAATTTTTCTAGATGTCTTAGTTTTTGTGTAATAAATTTTTAAAAAGTGCATGTTTTCGTCAAAAGAACATCTTATTTCTAAAACTAAGCGAAATCGATTAATAAAAGTTTAGCGTAAAAACATTGTTTTAAAAGTCTACATCCAAAAATGCCAAGAAACATACGGTGTTTCATTTAAAAAAAATACAAGTTTGTGTTTATCTATAAAAATTTTGAAGTTATAAGGGTTTAAAGTTTGCACTTTGACTGTATTTATTTCTGTTGGAAAAATAATTTTCCAAGTTTTTTTGTTATTGGCTATTAAAAGAGGAAACAAGCGGGCTGTATCCTAAATGGTAACTCTGTTCAATGTTATTTGTGGCTTTTATTGGCAAAATTTTTGTCCCTTTACAAAATAATTGTAAAAAAAACATATACAAGATCATCAATATCATTAGATAGATATAAAAAAATTTCAAATGTCAAAAAACAAAAGTCAAAATTTTTTGACAGATAGAATTTTTTAAACAATTTTTTTATGTTCCTGGTATCTTACCTTACTTGAAAATTTTCTCTGGGGCGTGAGTTCTGGCGCACCCTGTATATTGATAAATTTGCGATAATCTTTGCTTGTACCTAAATGAAAAATCGAATTTGCTTTGAACCAATAGTTTCGCGGAAATGAACGTTAGACATTGAAAACATAAATGTAAGAAGAGTGCAATTTCTATAAAGCAATAAAACTGCAAGGAAACTTAAAATAGAGGTCCAGAAACTGCAACAAAGCGAAATCGTCTTAGCTGCAAGAAACCACGATAGTAATTCGGCGAAATACAATTCAGTATCGACAGTTCATGCGGGAATTGTGATTATTTCTGCAAAGTTGTGCAATGTGCTAGGCGCTCCTGTCCCCGGAGTCTTGTTGCAGAGCAGCTCCGGTTATTTCATGCAACATGCATTCCGGCATTATTACGTAATCTAGAACAGAACAGAGAACACGTGTCGAATCTCAGTTAGGATACAAAGACTCACCAAATATTTAAACAGGACCACACTGTCCGAATTTAAATTTCTTTCAAAAAGCTGCTTTTATTAAATTTTTTAATTCACGCTTGCTCCAGATGTCACACCTATCGATAACCACTTAGACGCATCATTGCTCTATTTTGACAATCTCACGTGTCAGCTTACAAGATCGAGAGATAAAGTTTACCAAGTAATCAATCATCTTTTGTTAAGCGCTTCGGAAATTATCTAAACAATTACGATGAAAAAGTTGAAAAGAAATTTTTCACGTGTCTTGAAGCGATATGTGCAATTTTCTGCACCAGCAATCGGGTTCGGAGCGACTCTATTATAACTCTTTAATCGATGAAATTGTTTCCAAACTGGGTTTTTCACTTTGAAAATGATTATTACTAGGAGCAGACAGCGTGAACAAATGCGTGATTTGTCTGTATAGATGATTACAATAAAGATGTTAATTAAGATGAGTTAGTAGAGGGCTCATTTAGTTCACGTCAGTCTCACGCCTTTGCATTTCTAGATCATTGTTGGAGAATTATCTCATTACATGACGAAGGAACTGTAGACAACCAAAATGAAACCATACTGTACAAAGTAAAAGATATAAAGCGGTTGAAACGTACAAATTTCTATCATCATGAGTGACGACTTTTCAGGAAGAGAAGAAAGCCAGCACTTCCTGAAAATAAACTGTGATTATAAAATAGTATCAAATTTTAATCTTAAAAAAATTATAATTTATTCAATTTTTTAAAATGTACTATTAATCTGTAGCTCCTGTAAAAACTATGTAGGTACTATGTGTTATTCCGTATATTATATTGATTACAAGAACATCTAGAACGCATTTCACCATGTTTATTATTAGTTAACAACCCGAAACATGAAACCCTAATTAACAAACTTGCTTTTACATATTTTCTATTAGATGTATTCAATTTTCGTTTTTAATTGTAGCCTGAAGAAAACTAAAATCATTAAAACAATAATAACTTGCACAAGCCAGTAAAATATTCCGCTCAAATACTCATACACAAAATAATAGGAGTAATTAATAGAGACCGGATTTTAGGACTTTAAAAAATACAAAAAATGATCCTAAAAAAGACAGGAAAAACATAAAATAGAACATTATTAATAGAAAAATAGCTAATACAATCCTACAGAATAAATGTTTCTTAATTTAAAATATCTCAGATAATAACACACTCACTCGTATGTTTATATTATAAAAAATCAAATTTAGTATGTTCTAGTAATTTAGTATGTTCTTGCAAAAGTAAAAAAAAATATCATTGATTTTACGTCAAAACTTCAAAAGAATCATATTTTTTACTTAACCTGAAACAAACAATTAAAACTTCATTATTTTGACTGACCAGTGTTAAGAAAAGTCATTCATTTTTCTATAGACTTCATAATTAATTAATAGTTATTTATTCGACGAGTGTGAGTGTAAATCGGACGGTTTATTTGACCGAGTGGATTTTTAAACCACGAGTGTAACGAGGTTTACCATCCATGAGGTGGAGTAAAGCGTCCGATTTACTCTCAAACGAGTTGAATACAACATTTTATTCTTCGAATTAGACTCAACAAGGCTTAAACGTGCTTTAAATCTGTTAAAAATAATTTGACGTTTCGTATTGAGAAATGCCAAACAGTTGTCAAAACTTTCTTACACGGGAGAAAAACCATAAATTTTGACAGTGTCGAAGAATAAAAATGTTTAAAAAATTTTATCTGTCAAATAATTATGACATTTATTCGAAATTCGAAGTTTTTTTTCCATGTTCCTGGTATCTTATCTTACCTAAAATTTACCTCTGGGGCGCGAGTTCTGGCGCATCCTGTATAACAAAATATTACATTCTTATTTCTATAGTTTGTGACTTTTCTTTGGCCACACTGACAACTAAATTGTAATTTTGCATTTAAAATAAATTTTAACTAAATATTTAAAAGAACTTGACAATTTTGTTTTTTGTCTAGAGCACGGAAGTATTACTTTTGTAGCTAACAACAAAAACAAGAAAAAGAACAAGAAAAGAAGAAGAAAATCAAAATAGTATTCTTGACTTACTTAAAGCGGAGAAGGAAAAAATATAAAGTGACAGAAAAGACAGAAAAGCGACAACAAAGTGACAAAATAAAGTTAAAAAAAATTAAACAAATTATTTGTGTTTAAAAAATTTGAAAAAATTTGGTTTGAGGACAAAAAAAATTATATTTGTTTTTCGCACAAATACCAGCGTTTTAGGACTTCAGGACGCAAAAAATTTTATGTTCAAATTATACTTCATCTGAAACATTTAAAATTTTGGTCTTGAAGAGATTCAAAAAAACATTTTACCTAAAATCTGATCTATAACAATTAATTTAATTTTTTGTCCGCAGAACTGCCCGAATTTTTCCCGACAATAAGCGTGGGTCGGGACCCTTTGGACTACGGTGACGTCCTCCGTGCAAACTGCACCTCTCCCCCTGCACGTCCCGCCGCCAAACTCAAGTTTCTCCTAAACGACTTGTTGGTGGCTTCCACGCCGCCGTTGTCGCCTCGCCGCTCCCAGGAGGTGCAATGGAGTGACCTCAGTCTTGAGTTGCCCCTCCACGAGTACCACTTTAGTCGGGGTAAACTAATCCTGCGGTGTGTGGCACAAGTGGCAGGAATTTACCACGAAGAAGCCGTCCTCGAGCTGCCCAGTGTCCGGGACCCAGTTCCTGCGAAAGGTGGGTTTTGCAGGAATTGTTTCAGTGGGGTTCATGTTTGGTTTTCAGTGAGTGCAGACGATTCGGCCAGTTTTGCTCCCTGTGAAATAGTCCTGCAGATATTTTTTATTTTACTTCTTCGAATTGCTGGTGTCATGAACTAGAAATTTCATTCGGGCTGGAAGTGCCTTGTTACTTTTAAATTTATTCAAATTTTTTGTTAGTTCCTCACTGATGGTGACATGACATCGGCGGTTACATAGATTTTATGTACTTTTATACGTTATTAGAGTAGCAAAATGAAAATTTTCACGAATCCGGATTTTTTTGACAATCACACGTTTTGTGAAAATTTTTGCTCACTATCACTGTTCTTCTGTTGGCAATTAAAGAATTGTTATCTGTGATAATACTAATAAAGTCGTTATGTTTACTCACCCTTGTGTTATTTCTATCCCTATCGTTCCGATTTTATCACAGCTTTATTTTTAGATAGCTACAAAAACAGACAAATGTGTTTTCACAATATCAATGTTTATAGGTTCCACTCATCCTCGTCGTACAGGAAATGAAAGTTGGTTATCTTTTGGTTCTTTTTTACTGTCCATTAGAAATCTTTCAAGCTGAAAGAGTTTGTTTGAAAATTTCAGCTGAAATCGTGTTACGACAGCTATTATTCTTTTCAGACCACAATTAACGTTATTACCATTCAATGAAACAAACGAAATCGTACAATTCCGACTTTCTTTGTCTCATTTTAACAATAGTTCGTATCAGCTTTATCAGCAAGAAAGCGAAAGTTTCTTTACTGAAAGACGAAACTAACTAATAAGATAAGTTTCGAACTTAGTTAGTAGGTAGTTAAATACCTCTAAATATGATAAACAAGCGTTAACAAAATGGCTACGAAGTTACCAAATAAAGCCATCGAAAGCTCAGGTAAGTCAAATCTTAAGTCAATTATTCCTGCGAGAAACATTTAATTTAATGTTGCTCCTAAATCTCAAATGTACTCGTAGGTGAGAATTGATGTAATGTTGAAAACAACAATACTACGAGTTGAATTTCCATCAAACTAAATATACAGAGCGCTTAAAAAGTGGGCCTAACTATCAGTGGTAACATATTGAAAACGATAAGCAGATTACAAAAAAAATGTTTTTGAGGTCATATTTTAAAAATCTGAAACTACAAACTTGTTTTGTTAATTTTTTTAATTCACATTATTCTCTCAAGTTTTTAAATTTTACTTAGTATGGAACCAAACGTTTTTAACGTTAAATTACTAAACTAATTGCTAATTGAAAAAAAAAACAAATTTTTATCAGGAATAAATTTTTTCAAAATTTTCTTTGATTTTTGAGTTCTGCATTTTTTTTTTTTTAATAACAACCCATTATAAAACTTTTTTTTTTCAAAAACTATGATCTAAGAATTACAACTGTACATTTTATTCTTTTTTTTTAGAAAATAATTTGACAAAATAAAATCGCGTAATTCAAACAAAAAACAAAATTTCATTTTCAAAATAGGATTACACGTTTGATAGTACTTAATTTTACTTTCTGGAGTTAAATGTTTTAAAAAAAACCCTTGCTTCCGTACTTTTTATTCACCCTGTAAGTATATGATGGATAATTTTTTTGCATCGACTTTTAAAATTTAGCAGTATTTGTTTTTTCAATTAATTATTTAGAAATTTTTTTTATTTGCAGACATTACATAACACATAACTATGTTTTAATTTTTATTTAACAATGCTTATTCGTTACGAAACTGTTGCTGATGATTCAAGAATGTTTAACTTTAACTATTGTTCAATTGCAATGTCATTGGATAACGTCGCCACATCTGATTTTTTTGTTTTGACATAATTTTTTAATTATTTTTATTTTTATATGTAAGCATTTTTCTACCTCTTTTTATTGATTTGGTGTTCCACTTTTTGACAGTCTGTTATAAATGGTTTTAAATTCGTCATCACAAATTGTTAGAAATTTTAATAAATATATGCAACTTATAACTGAAGACGAAATATTCTCAACTGAAACATTTTATTTTGTTTTTTTTTTGTCTCTTTATACCTGACACAATTTAGCATAACCAACGCAATTTTCACATTTTACAATGATTTTATCTCTTTGAAACATTATTGCTTATTTTAATTGAAACATTTTTGTTTATACAGCGTGCGCCAGAACTCGCGCCCCAGAGAAAAATGCCATATAAGGTAAGATACCAGGAACATGGAAAAAATGTTAAAAAAAATTATATATAAAATTTCCAAGTTATGAGAGTTTAAATTTTGCACTTTGAATCTATTTATTTCTGTTGAAAAAATAATTTCCCAAGTTTTTTTGCTACAGCCTATTAGGAGAGGAAACAAGGAAGCTGTATCCTAAATTGTAACTTTGTTTAATATTATTTGTGGCTTTTATTGGCAAAATTTTTGTAGCTTTACTAAATAATTGTAAAAAAGACATGAACTTCAGTATCATTAAATATACATAATCCCGCTTCATAAGCTGCTTTTGCCAATATGATATATTTTGTTCTTTAATTAATATTATTTTTTATCTAATAAAAAATTATTAATAATTTATTAGTAACAAAACATTTAAACTAATTTCTTTTGATGTTTCGTTAATCCATACCTTTTTAATTTACTTTACACTATTGGAGCTTATAACTAATTAAACATTTAAAACAACACATACATTTTGATTTATTATTTTATACCGTAATTTATTAAGTTTAAAAATATAAATAGTAATTAAACAATAAAAAATTGTTAATAGAGAAAAAATGGTATATAGTGAGTTTCTGCGTTTAAAACTACTGCAAAGTGCCACAAATCCCATTTTTCGTCCTTTAGAAAATTTTCAAAATTATATTCGTCCACAATCCTCGCCAACAAATTAAAAAGTTCACCATAAAACAGATTAAAGCCATTAATCCCAGTGTGGCGATCGTATCGAGCGTTGCAAACTCAATCTGCGAATATTGGAGGGCGATATGGGCACGAAGACGGCTGACCCTTGAGACTCCTATCACTAGACCAAATCAAAAAGACCGGATTGCACCGGGAATAGCGCAACAGTGAATTCGTTCGAGGTAGAAAGAAGTCTCTTGCGGCCTAGGGATCTTTATGTTAACCGAGTTTTTATCGTGTCATCACCTCTCATTCCGGGTTTAGAACGCCATCTGATCCGCGATTATTGGATAATACGGTGCTAAGCCGGATTAACTGGACGGAATTTTTCAGTTTAGAGTTTCACCAGAGTTTCAAATATTTAAAAAATCAATCTATTTAAAAATCTTCTCTAATTACTTGAATTTTTACTGAAGAAGTGGTTGTCGAATGGTCCCCTGTGTTCTGACCCTTTTTTGGATTAATCGGCGCCAACAATATTTCAAAAACAGGGAGCATTAAATAAAATAATTAGATTACAGCAAACCCACCCTTCTGTCATGAAACAGAACACTCCCTAATTAAGCGGAGTGATAACAGCAATTATAATATAAAATGTGTCGGGGGATGCTATTAGGAGTCGCAGTCACATCAGGGCGTGGTTCAACACACGTGACACGAACTGAAACTGAAAACTTTTAATGAAAAGTGGAATTGTTTTAGTTTGATTCTTGTAATATTTCAGGTGGTTTTTAATTATAAATTATTGTGCTTGGGTTTCAATTAAGACAAAATAATGGCTCCATTGTGGATTCTGAGGCGAAATTATTATATACATATGCAAATAATAATTAAGGTAAAACGTAGTTCGTAGTTGAAAACAACAATTTTCTTTTATGATCGTTGTGTTATCACTAATTATTTTAATTGACTAGTTTAAAATTTATTATTACCGCATTATTTCATTAAAATTAGTATTAATTTTACATAAAAACTATTTGTTATATTAATTTAAAAGTAACACCTCAAAAACAAAAAATTATAATCTACTTAAATAGACAAAATAGTAAAATATAGATCTACTTGAAGTGTTTCAGTTTTTTATTTGATGACAATTTATTATCGATCGTTTTGATTATAAAAATAATTACTTTGCTAATGTAAGCTAACGCACAAGTAACAATTTATTTAAAAAAATATTTGTTGATCAATTCCTAGAAAAAATTATGTTTGAAATAACACAATAACACAACAAAGCCTGATTTTCGACCGGTTTTGTTGTTTTTTCCTAGTAATAAATACTTGAAAACCTCTTTTATTTCTTCTTTATATTTCTTGTCCAAATAGCAATCGATTTTCTGCGATCAGTTCTGTATTTTGTGTGTGCCATTAGGTGGACATAAGACAACGTCTTTGTTTTTGCCCCATGTCCTGCCTCCAACACTAATCTCGTAGTATCCAGGCCTACCCTTTAATACATGTTGTTCACTTTTTGTCTCATTTTTTGTTTAAAAGGCATCGATTTTCTAATAAACACAAGTTCCATTTTTATAAACATGCCAACAATTTGCTATCTCATTTAATAACAATAAAACCTTCGCTCCTGGATATGGAGACAAATTGCCTTGTCTGGAATAAAACGTTTTTGCCATTCCAATAAAGTTCCCTCTTTAAATAAATAAATTCGGCTCCAATTAAATGTGGATCTTTAGTGCAAGCTGGTGATAGAAGCATCGTGTTTAAAACGCTGTAAATTTTTAACGATGTAAATTTTGCTTCGTCGCTGTTTTTAATATGTTGACGTGTTAAGTTTTACTACGCTATAAATAATCACGATTGGCCGGATTAAACAAACATTCTAATTTCAGTGATTTGTGTTCATTATTACTAAAGAGCTTTCATTTTTACTAATTTTCTTTAAAACAGAAAAATTGAAATTAAAATTTTGTCATAACTGAAAACCTCGTAAAGAAAATTTAACTGGACAATTATTGTAACACTAAATGAGTAATGTTCAACTGCCGAACATCATCTAACTGCAACTCAGTGGTGTGCTCATAAATTCAAATAAAATTACAACCCCATCTTCCAATATTACAATAACTTATAGTGTATTCTCAACGGAGTAACTTGTACCACATTTGGCTAATGCAGAATGTTGTGTAATGAAAGCGTATCAAATTAAGAGGAACTGTTGCAAGCATTATTGATTTTCCTCATTGTTCTAACTCTCAATCAAACAACTTCACTATTTTCGTTAAATAAATTTGTATTTTGTGTGCAACAAAGGTTGTTTTAATTAACATTACAACAGATTGGATATAGATTTTCACGAGCTTTTGTACGTTCTAAATAACCTTCTTCCTCTTCATTTTAAAAGCGTTTAATGTTCCGAGATGGAAAGTACAATAAAGTGATGCCTAAACAATTTCCTGTGTTAAGCGATGTTAATTAATAAACGCCGAGTATCTATGTATCTTTTATATGAATTAAGAAATAGGATATTTAGAATCAATTCGTAATCAAGCATACTTAAAGCTTGTTTTGTTATAATCCAGAGATTAATTTAAAATTGATGAGATTCACAGCAGGAAGAGACCCGTACGTGGAGTAAATTACTGTTGAGCCATACCAAAATAAATGTTACAATCTTGAGGTGTTAAGTGGTAAACTATGATATTCTGAGGATAAATGTTTTAATGATTAATCTAAAAAACAATGTTGTGATAGTTCTGCTTTAGATTTTTCGAGATAGATGACGTATAAAAACGCCCAACTATTGTTTCTTTTTATCCCCAAACAAATCTCTTTTATGTAACTGCTGAATATTTTGCGATCGAGTGAAACGTTGAATTTTTCATGTGGATGATGTAACGAAGTTGCGCAACATACGCGTTATTAACAATAACCGAGCCGAATTAATCGTCGGTGATCAATTGCATTTAACAACGTAAACTACATGACATTACATTATGTAAATCAGGTGCCATATTGGTTTATTACAATCTGATATTTATCCGGAGTGGAT